AATCATTTGGTCTATTTTTTTCTTCATAGGAAGAAATACAGGTTGTCGTTTTTTAAAGAGACAATTCAGTCTAGATCGTCCTGATGAAACTACCTATGTTGGTTTCACCGAGCAAATTAATTATCAACAACAATTACAACAACAGCAACAACAACAATTATTATCGCAACAAAATTTGAGCATGACACCAAGACTTTATAAACAAAATAGTGCGGGTGCAGCAAATGATCTGGAACGTATCGAAGAAGTACCGTCTACTCCAGCTCCTGTTCTTCAACACTATAGACAGGCAGCATCTGTTTCTCTCTCTGTAGAATCATTAACGCTCCGTTGAAGAATATTGCATTTTTAAGCGATAAAAATGTCCGCCGTTAAGCATTTACTATTAAAATTCTTCAAAAAATGACAATCGTCACGTATCCATACGGATCATTAGACATATTATATGAAATTTATTATATTAAATTTATAGAACAGTGACACAAAGATAAGATAGAGTTATGGAAAAGTTATTTACTTGTGTATTTTATCATTGTCTCTTTCATCCATATAATATTATCATAAATCGATTGATCTTTGATTATAGTATACACAAATTATCGCGAAAGATGTAGAGAAAACTTTATACCCATTATCGCGAATGACAATCTCTGTTACATAGACACATTCTGTGCATATGCAGTACTCTCGTATTATGTAAGTATATTATATTGAAAATGTGTGCAATATATATTCTATTTCCGTACTTTTTCTGATCCATATTTCTTCAGTTATTTCATAACTTAAAATCAAATAATATTTTATTGTTGTTGTGCATAAAATGCATAATAAATCAAATAATTGTATCATTAAAATTGTTCGTAAAATTTTGCTGAAATATCATGACACAATTATCATGTACTCATATTTATTATGTTCTCACCAAGAGAGAGAAAAAAATGTTATCTTTCTCGTAAATCTGCACAATTTAATCATCTCCGAATTGTTGACAATAATAACTCGAAAACTTATAATATAGAAACGTAGGTACATTCTCTCTCTCTCTTTCTTCTTTTCATTTTTTTTCTCTTTCCAGTATTTATCGTATAATTTATAAAATACACCGTAAAGATTAATTAAGAGAATTCTTCGAGTGTATATACATATATATATATTTCAAAATTAATGATAAGTGTATTTATTAATACAATGAATGATGCTTAATGCGCCAAATAAATAACATCCTTTCGTGTCCTTATATATTGCGTAAGTAACTGAGAAAGGAGCATGTACGAATGTGTGTTTAATGTGATTGTGCAATAATCTGTGTGTTAGATGTATGTGTACATAGGGCACATAATGTATAGATGAACAATTTATAATATTGTAAGTGTTTGTAAGTGAAAAATTTACAAAATATTTTCAATAAATTTTTCACATTGCATCGCTTATAATACATAAAATATATATAATACAAAAAAGAATTGTGATTGTTAAAGAGATGTAAAAGCACAAACATTTATTTAACATTATACTCGTTAAATGTCATTTGACAAATTTGTGATCTGTTCCCTATAACAATTGCGATTAACAATAAGAATGATGCGATAAATTATTTAAAACATGAAGATACTGTTACTTTTATTATGTAACAGTACGTAATTGGGAAATAAAATTTTATTGATTAGACAAAAAAATAAGAAAAATAATTTTTACATCCACTTTTTTTTTTATTCAATACTAATAATTTTTTTAATAATATAATTTTTGGTAAAAAGATACAATATATAATTGTATCTATTTAAATCATTTCACAAAGTGATAATGTATACTATATGTATTGTATTTTATTCTATTGTATCATATATAATTCTGAATATATGGATAAATATATAGGCGCGTATGTGTATATAAAAATAAATCTCAATAGAAAGTTAAACATAAATATATATATATATATATATTTATATACATATATGTCATATATATGTATATATGTGCTATCTTTTAAATTTTTACAATTTTTCTTTTGATGCTCTATGATGGACAATTCAATAATTATTTCCCATCTGTTTTACATGATTTCCTTCAATTGATGATTTTTAATACTACCAAGGCCTGAAAAGAATATATGAAAGACATGATGAAAGAATTTTATTGGATACTAATATAACGAAGAAATAACAATAAATAATAGTTTACCCATAAGAAGAAGCATCTTTATATTCAACATGTACCGGTTTAAAAACCGGAGCAGATCTTTCAATTATCCTTTCAATAAAAATAGGTTTGTCAACGTATTCTACGTATTTCACGGATGCTGGAGGAGGGGACAAATATACATGATGAACTTCTGGAGCAGTCTTATAACCAATCTTGTATCTAAAAATTATAGAATTAATTAATTTATGTAGATAGATTTGGAAGAAATTGTAAATAAATTTACGTCGCATAGATATAAATTTTTTTACCCTTTTGCGACACCTAATCCAAAACCCAAAAGTCCCGCACCAATAAGCTTTTTCTTTAGCAAAAGTGTTCTCTTTTGCCTATTTAATATAGCACCTGAATATTGTTCATTTTCTGGTTTAACAACAAATTGATCAAAATTCGAGAAATGATTCTCTTCCGATGATAAAATGTCTTCTTTTGCCACTATACATGGCATAACGTAACAACAAAAAACAACAAAAATTGTAATAGTAATTAGTTGCATCTATCATAAAAAAATTGCAATTATTAAAATATTTTAAAAATAAAATGATTAAATACATTATTATATATGATTATCTACATTCTCTTACCGTGTTTCGTATCAAAGATTTAGGAATAATCTTAAACGCATAGAGAGTGACAACTCGTATGTCACATTTTCGATACCTTCTCTTGATTTTATACACAGTTGCCTACTTTCGAAGCAACAAATTCTCCCACCTATTCAAGTGATCAAATTCGTATCGAATCCCTACTTAAATATTGTAATCCATTTTCACAATGAACCTCTTGCAACACAACTAGGCTCAGTTACCATGTTTCTTCCTAATTATTGAATAATTCACTAATTTTCTAAAAATTAGAAAATTGATTTAATTAAATTACTAAATTTTTTAGATAAAACTCTATTTATCTATATATAGTCAATCATTTCAATAACTTTTTTCAAATTATAAAGGATATTTACTAAAAATTTGTATTATAAAAAATGCTTAAATGATAAATCAAAAGATAATAAAATAAAATTTCTATTATGTATATGTAATAAAAAGTTATAAATGTTCCAAAATATATTAAATTTCTATATTATAAAAAATGATGAATAAAAAAATAAAATAATAATTTATTATTGGAATTTAATAATATAAATAATAAAAATATTAATTTATTGTAAATAGTAATTGTAAATACGATAAATTTCTTTCTTATATTTTGATTTATATTTATATAATTCATTTTTATTCAGAAAAATTTAGAATTTATAAATAATTTATTCAGAAAAAAAATAACCAAATTATTTAATAAATAAAAAAAATAGTTAATAAATTCTTTATAAATTTTTATTATATGTAACAAAAATTAAAAAATAGCTTTAAATTATTTGAAAGCTTTTAAACTATCACTAAATATTTGTTAAATGAACCATTTACTTATATTTTATTATATATTATTTAATTACAATAACCAAATATATATATATATATAAATTAGAAGAATTAAATAGGAGATTTTTGCTTATATGTTTAATTCTATATTCACTAAGCATTCAAAAAAAGGGTACAAATTTTGTTATTATTATATATTAAAATAATTTGATTGTAATATTGTATTACTTCTATTTATATTAAGTAAACTAAAACTTGTTAAATAAATTAGTTAAAATTAGATATAGTAGATATTATAATTTATATAGAATATAGGAGATATAAATCAAAATCTCATAAATTTGTTATTAAATAATAATATCTAGTATATTATTTTTTCATCAAGAAATATGTTTATATATTTTTTTCTTATAATATCTAGATTATCTAGTTGTTTGCAAAAAATGATGAAAAAGTAAGAAGAATAAATTGTATTTTTTAAAAAAATTATAATTTTTCAAAAAATTATAATTGAACAAAATTTAAAATTGCAGTACTAAAAAATTAAAAAAATATGATATCAGATTTTATCATGTAATCATAAAAATATAATTTAATGAAAAAAAAAGAAAAAAAGGAAAAGAATTAAAAAGATATGTGATAATAGAGACAAGGAAACAAGATCGATTCACTTACGAAATATATTACATTCGTTAACACGTAATATTGTATCGCATCTATAATACAGGTGTCGTAAGTTTAACGAACAATTGTTGAATAATAATGAATCGAGTTCTATCATTTTCGATTTACTTACATTTTCAATCCTTTCAATGAATCAAACGTGTATATTAAGTAACGAATGATGCGTGGCAAGAATTGAGAATACGGATCATAAAAGAGAAAGGTTGCAAAACTAAGAGAAAATACGAATAAGAATGCGTTTACTTTTACAATGTTTCGAATCATTAGGTATTCGTCGATAGAAATCAATCTCGCAACATTTTCAACTACGTGCTTTAGTTTGAAATATGAATTGGTTGCTCAATTCTTGTCATATTTAAATAGTTTTTAAACAGAATTTTTACTATATCAATATATATTGAAATTAATTACCGTATATGAAATTGTCATTTAAATTAATTTAACAAATTTAATTTAAAAAGAAAAAAATATGAGAGAGAACATACATGAAATAACACATTTACATTTCAGAATTGCCAATAAAATATATGTGTATTTTTTATTTTTATTACAAAAAATTTTATTACAAATAAAAACAATGTATTCGCATATATATTTATTTATAATGAAATGAAATAATTGTAAAATTTTCTAAAAAAATCATACAATTAAAAAACAAATTATTCAAGTTACAACATAATAATACATTATTTATTTCAGAACATGAAACAAGTTTTAATTATACTTTCTTCTGCAGATCGATTCTATTTATCATGTATCAAAATAAATTTATAAATAAATAAAAAAATAAATTATTTTTTGAATTATTCTTTTGTTTATCCTTATTATTATTTATTAATATTACATCACGCATATTCACGAATTAGCCCCAATTTGATTCAACATAAGAGAATGGTGGATATTGATAGTTCGCATATTTACCTCCATAGCCACCGCCATAACTGATACATATTGAAGATTAATCGTTAAAATTAAATGTTACAATAAATAAATTGATAATAAAAATATTAAAATTAAATTTGGATCTTAAAAAATATACTTACTATTTAGCTTTATACAAATTAGCTCCTACAAGTCCAGCGCCAATAAGAGTCTTAGCTCCAAGGGCGGTACCACCCAATAATAATGCTTTTTTACCAATTATAGCTGCTCCAGCGAGCAAAGGTAATTTAACTAAAGATCTTTTAACCCGAATTATTTTTTCTTTCTCAATTTTGTTGTTATTTATAATTGAGGCACGATTTTCTCCATGCATAATCACAGATAAAGTATGGATATAATTAACAAGCAACAATGTCACCAATATAAGAAGATATAACGATTTCATCTAAAAATCAAAGAAATTTAAATTTTCTATACGATTTCTAAGAGAAAAAGAGAAAAAAGAAGAAAAGAAAGAATGAAAAACATTGAAAAAAAAAAAAAATAAAGAAAGAAAATTATAATATAATGAAAAAGAGAAAAATATAACTAGAATGATTAATCAAATCTTAACAAATTATTATGAATAAAAAGAAATTTTAAAAAATTTAAAATAAACATGAGAAAGAACATTAACCTCGTCGAAATTGATATAATCGTTTGAACAAAATATTCGGATGCTTCAGACTGAATGACTTTTATATATAAGATTTTATCCCTTCCCTTTATTATTAACATCTCTTTCTAGTTTTAAAACCGGAATTCACAAATCTCTTTCTGAATTCATTTTTTACTTTGGCATATTCCTTCTTTTAATCTTAGGTCATTGAATTCATCTTAATTGGTTAAAATTCCTGAATATTTCTTCTTTATCCTCCTTTGAATTTATATTCAATATCGTATCACTCCATATTGTGATTCATTTTAAAAACATAAATGAAAACTTTGAATTTGTTATCATTATATAATATATTTACATTATATAATATACATATTTATATTACATAATATACAATGTAAAATAAAATATTCGTCGAAAATTCCAGAAAGAATAATCAGACTTTATGCCGATCATATATATACTTTCACTAAACAGTGTAAACAGTTTCTCTAATTTTAAAACCTTGAAAATTCTACTAATTTTAAAGACAAATCACGAAAGAAGAAACAGTGTTAAATAACACAACATTTTTAAGTAATCACATAAAAAAACATTAATAAAGTTAAAACTATTAAAGTTAAAGTTTAGGAAAAAAAAATTGTAAGATAATTTAACCATATTTCATTTCCATTATTTTATATATATAGCAATTTCAATATTAATATCTATTAATAATTATTATTATTAATATTATATATTATATTTATAATAATTTGGTAATTGTTTTTATACATATTATTCGACTTCAGATTTCTTATAACAAGAAAACTGATAATATCGAAATCAATAAAATTTCGATTAATCGAAAAATATTCATTTAAATTCGTTTCGCATGATTATCAATCAAATCGAAAGGAATAATCGCTTGAAAGAAATAGTTAAAGAAAAAATAAGAAAAAGAAAAAGAAATTTGTGAAAATAATTTTATCAGAGATTGATATAAATAATTAAAAAATGGGCCCTAAACAGAAACGAACTAGAAGACCACCACATAAACCAGTACGTACTGTGCAAGAATTGAAAAAAGAAGCATTCTCTAATGAACTTAAGCTTAGTACTTTGAACACGAAACGTTATCAAAGTTTGTGGAGAGAAATGCTTACACGTATAAAAATGCCGGATATCTATAAAAAGATCAACATAATTTGGCAGACTTCGGAACACGTTTTCGATCTCAAGGACTACAGGTACACGATAAACGATCAATTAAAATACATACATATCATGGAAATTCTTTACATTCATATAGCATCAGTTTATTACTGGATAGTCTACAAGAAGCCGAAGATCAACGTCGTAGAGCAAATGGTACTCACATAGAAATATTCAATCGATCCTTGGAAGCACATGAAGCTCGGCTAGCAGATATTTATAATTTTTTCCATCAAAAAATTAAAACAGCGTTGGCTGATAAAATCTTTACCTTCGAAAATATTAATTATCATCGAAATCAGAAAGAAAATATTTTACGAAAAATTAACTTATTTGTAAATCAACGAGGAGAAAATGTCGCAAATGTCGCAAGAAGTACTGCCTTTAGTAAGTAAGTTGTAGATATTATCTATAAATACTTTTTCTCCATTATATGATCGTGCTTATTTAGTATTCTTATATAATTCTCTCTCTTTATTAAAAATAAAAATATTGTTATTCTTTGTTAACAATTTTAAAATATAAATTTTTTTATTTCAAAGGTAGAATTGATGCATTTGTGGAAGATAGAGATAACGAAAAAAGAACAACTATAACGTTACTTCAAAGGAAACTTGAATATCTTTGGAGCAATTTGCGAAATGTTTATTCTGATTATCGCAAAAGTACATAAATACCAATTAATAATGATTAATGATAATGATATGATAATGATTAATGAAAATGATAATAATGATTTGTAATTAATAATTTATGAATATTTTTTATAATCTTTCCTGTTTTATATTTCATTGTAATAGATACAGATATGCGGCGAAAGGATTACGAGATAATCAAGAACAAGGATCATATTGATCAACAAATAATAACTAAACAATATCTTCGTATCGCGAATCTTCTTGATGAGATCGTGAAATATCGTAATAAAATTAAATTTCATGGAAGAGAATCTGGAAATGAATTAGAAGAAATTTTACGAGAATCAAATTTCTTTCATAATATCTACAGAGAAGCAAATGAACGTTTTATTCTTGGTATACATCTTTATACATATATACTTGTTTTTATTAACTAATTAAATTAACTATAATTATAATTGATCAGGTCACAAAAAAGATAAACATAGAACGATGACAATGTGTAAAGAATATAATCATAGTGTAAAACATATGAAAGCTTTGATGGTCAAAGCTGAACGCATACTTGCTTATATGCAAATGTGTCGAAAATATGAAACACAAGATGAAAAAATTCTTCCCATAATGAATAGTTATCCTATGCAATTATCATTAACCGATGATAATGATGTTATTCCAATTCAAATGGTTAAAATTCAATTCTTTCCATATTTTAAAAAAAAATAGATACGAATCGCATCTATAGGATTGATTTTGTTTCATTTTTTTAAAAATTTTTTTATAAAAATTTGATTTGATATTTTCTTGAAAATTGCAGTTTATCTTCAATATATTTCTAAAACGATTTACGATGTATCTCCTCTATCATGGAGATTTCAATGATACAAAAATTGAAATTTGACACTTTAATCAAGAATGATATCAACTATCAAATGAAAAATATCTAATAAAAATGAAGTAGAAAAAGAAATAACGCAAATGCTCATTTTATATAAGTACTAATAAAAGAATCAATAAAAATAATTCAACTAAACATGCTGAAACTGCTTAAGAATTACATTATATATGCATAATATTGTATTTATATATAAACGTACATTAGTATATGAAGGAAATTTTGAAATCTTTTCAAGTCATATTGAGATCAAATCAATTATGTACTATAAAAATGATTTGCTTAAATTTTCGAACATCTGTTATAGATTATATTTAGATTATTATTTACATCATAAATCGTAAATCTCTACAATATTTCTATAGCTTCTGAAAATTTTTTTAAATCTTATTTTAAAAAAAATTATTTACAAAATATTTTTTTTATAATTTTTTAAAAAAGTATTCATAAAAAAATTGTCTATATTTAACTGCTATTTATTTCTTTATTACATAAAGAATTTTAAAAGTGTTCGTTCCATTGTATATAGAAAAGAAAAATACAGATTATTACTATGCTATCAAAATTGAAATCATATTCATTATATTTTTAGATTACGAAAGACTTTGAACAAACGATTAATTTTTGGCGTCGATTAGGTTTTGCACAATTAATTACTACAGAACTTCAAACTCAAAAAGATAAATTATTGATGCAAGCAAATGATCTACGAAAATTAGTGAAAGATTATCTTACTGATCAAACAAATTCAACATAATTCAATATGTCTAAGTCAATAAATCAATACAAAAAAACCTTATTAAAAATTGATTTATTATTAGTACAAGTGGATATCATTGATCATAGCCATTTTATATGTGGAATAAAGCAAAAAGTAGAAATGTGAGTAAATTTTAAATTTCTTATGCATTTCTGAAACGAAAATTATAATTATACATATGTTTAGATATATTTCAATCTTAACAAATAAAATATATAAAAATTACAATATACAATTATTATATAATTGCAATTTTAATTTTTTTCACATTTAATTACAATGAAAAATAGTATTGCTATTTCTTGTATTAACCGAAAATTACACTACTATAAATACAATAAATATCATTTCATGAAAACATGAAACACAAGTGACAATTCAAATTTATTCATCACTTTCAAGGATTTATTCATTCCAGCAAGGCCAGTCTTATGCTTTTCTCAGGTTTATTCTTTTTGCTGAATAACTTAATTTTCATAAGTGATTATAAAAATATTATGCTCTAATGAATTAACGTGACTTATGTTTATGCGCTATTCGTGATAACATTTTATTGCCTGCGAGGAATGTAACAATACCAAGGCCGACGAGATATCGAAGAGTAACAAACATGTTTAGTTTTAACCAAAATATTCCAAAAAGTGTGAAAATACCTGAAAAACAAATTGATTAAGAATTATTGAAAAATAATAGAATATATATAATTATATCATTTGAAAGGATATAAGTAAATGTTAAGAAACATTGTTGTGAAATATGGGCTACAATTGCAATATAATAATTACACTTGCGAAAATTTCACATTTTTTTTATGCCCGAAATACAACAAATTAATCAAAAGTGATTATTTGTCAAACATTGGGCATATCTTAATTCTTTTGCTACTACTATCTAGACTATAGTCGCTCTGCACAAGATGCCACTGAAGTATTACGAGCGACTAGTTATTTTGCATAAGATGCAGCACATCGTATATGATGAGTTGACGATATGATGATTGAAATTATTGCACATCGAGTATCTTTCTCTGGAAATATAGCATCAATTTTTTTTCAATAAACACCGTTAAAACAACGATCTTTCTTGAACACTGTGCACATTTTTGATGCGTTCAGCGAGAATGGCGCAGCAGAAAAGTCGCGGAAAGATTAATTAATATCATATAATGAATCTCTATCTAGAAAATTACATTTTGCATAATATGTTATATAACCACATATATACTTTAAACTTTTCAAGCGATGAATCTAATACGATCAGATATACTAAAAAGGATATTATTTATAGATAGCATTAATAAATGTAAATATTAAAGTCGAATAAAAATATTTATCTATTATTTGTTTAAATATATATTTTAATTTTATAAAATTTTATATATATCTTTATATCATTTATATTTATAAATAATGTTGATGAATAAAAAATAAATATAAAATATTCAGCAGAATAGTGTGCAATTTTTAAAACATTTTCATAATATAACAAAAAAAATATTTAAACAAAAGTTGATTTGTTTTATATCAGCTATAATACTTAAAATCTTCAAAAAATGCTTTTTTGTATAAAAAGTCAAGTTTGATTCTTTTAAATAATATGATGTATTTTTAATTTCATAGCATAGTTATTTTTCACAGATTTTACGCTAAATAGTTTAATTTTCCTTATGCGATAATTCACCAGTGGTAATTTTTATAAAAAGAATTTTTGAAGATTTTAAATATTATAATTTCTAACTAATTAAAAATAAATCAAATTTTATTTAAAATATTTTTTTGATGCATTATCGAAAATATTTAAATAAATCGTGCATCATTTATGTATTGAATACATATTTGTATATTCTAAACAAATAATATTAATAAATATATCAAAATATTGAAATTTATCTAACTTATTTTATATTTAATACATTATAAATTGATAATATATGACATATTTATGTTATATATGATATATTTTTTTCGTTTCATTATACAGGAATCTATTGTTTTATCAAATATGAAATACTTACTTCCCAGTCCCAGATGAAATATAACCGCACTAAGCGAAAATGGAAAATTTGATATATTCACTCCAAGTTTAGCCCACAAAACAAGTAACAAAAGAATTGGTGCTAAGCATAAACCGGTAAATAAATTTGAAACAAAGACAGGAGGTCTCTTCTCGGGTTCGCGAAACATATGCTACAACATATAAATATTTTTTTGAATTTCTACTTATTTTAAATAACTTATATTATTATAAAAATATTAAATTTAAAAAATGTCCGTCAAAATATAAATGTAAATATTTAAACGTAATCGTTTTAAATATTATCTTATTTAGAAAAATAGAAAAATATATTTGACGGCAATAATATTTTTCCAATGTTAAGGAGGCAATAGAATCAGAAAAATGATTGCTATCACTAACGAGCATTGGTTTGTATTAGTTAGTAATACACAAAACGAGAAAAATATTATTTGAATATCAATAATATGCAATAATAAAACAAATACCTTTATTTCTGGTTTTGTTGAATAGACATTAGATTTAGATTTGTAAAATACATTTTTATCTGTTCGTTCGGACGAAGATGGTTCAGGAAATTTCAAATTAACTGTTGCTACTGTCCATTGGAAAGGGTTACTTAATATTGCATCACCAATAATTAATTCTACATTATAATCTCCACTTTGATAATTAAAATTTGCTGCTGCGGTTCCTACAGGCTAAAATGTTTTAAATAGCGCAATAATGATAATTTAAATAATTTCAAGAAATTTCATTACAATTATACTAAAAAATATTATAAATACCATATCAAATTTATAAAGATGCGATGTATCAGCTTCAGCAACAAAAAGAATTTCATGTCCTTTTTTATCATTTTTTGAAATTAACATAGAAGAAAGTCGTACAAATGCTTGATGTGTGCGCATAGGTTTTTTATTAGCATTATCTCTTAATAAAAATCTCATAACTAATTTTTGTTGAGAATCAGCTTCAATCTTTTGTGACAATTTTTCAGGGAAAAGTATTCTATGAACAGTATATCAAATTAAATATTACATTTATCATATATACATCAATTTTATGTGAAATAATTCATATTTAAATCTATTATTAAATTTTTTATTAAATTACCGTGTAAGTTTTGGTTGAGTAGTTTGATCAGCATCAGCAGTACCAATCTCCATATAATCGACCATTACATCGCAAAGAACTTTCACTGTAACGGTATTAGTTACTGATCCAGCTGTGACTGATATTTTATAAAATCCACGTTCTGGTTTCATTTCCATAAAATTCATAGTAAATAATGTTCTAAAATTTAATAAATATGTTAAAATTTTTTGTATATATAGGATATATATATGATGTCCCAAAAAATGTGGAAATATCCGTTTCGATTCCTGAAGTAATTTCAAGCAATATTTTTCTTTGCAAAAACTTTTGTTACGGCTTTGTTAATGAATTATTAACAAAAAATACTGATCAATCATGGAGCATATAACTTAGTCGAGCTGTTACATGTTATATCATATATTACATCTACATATCTCGAAAAAAATGTGTTGAATATAATAAAATATTTTTTTATCAATAAAAAATTAGATCGAATTATACCACGAGCAATGAATAAATAAATAAATATATTCAACATTTTCGATATATTGTTTGAACTTATTCGCGACACATGGCGACTGTTGTTACAGTATGACTAGGCTACACGTTTCGTGATTGACGAGTGTTTTTTGTTAATAACTCGGAACGAAATTTTTGCAAAGAAAAATATTGCTTGAAATTATTTCATGAATCTCCAGTTTACTAATGTTTCAATATTCTTGGGATATCCTGTATAAATACATACATAAATTGTCTGTTGAACTTCTTGATCTTTTCGAATTCTAACAAAAGATTAAAAGATTGTTCAACGAATACTATACCCCAAGGTATAACCGATTTCGAAAAAAGTTCAACTGAATCGGTAAAGTATTGGGGAAAAACAAGAAGATTTAATACTTACTTGTCTGTTGTAGAAGACTGCAAACTTTGTTTATTGAATATAACAACATCATCTCCAATTCTAGTTGCAGAATTTGCAATCACTTTAAATGTGTTAGTTAATGGATTGCCTAATATATCACAAACTTTTATTGTAACTAAGGGTTGTTGAATAGAAATGCTAATTTCTTCATTGGCTAATGTTACACAGACTGGTTTTTCAAAATCATTGTTTGCTAAAGTTGTTAATGCTGAAAGTAAACTTGTAACGCCTCTTGGTGTTTGTACGGAACGTCGAGATAAAAGATAATTAGCCATTTTCACTATTTGCTGAAGTGTTAGTGGTGGCTTTTTTTTTAATGTACTGGAAAGTTTAAAAATGCCATTCACCAAGAAACCTAAAAAAAAAGATACACTTAGTTAATAAAAATTTTTTTTTGTACAAAGGAAAAAAATTTTTTAAAATGAAATTAATTAAAAAACTGAATGAAATTAAGTTTAATTTGAAAATTAATTAAAAATAGAAATAATTTTTACATTTGTTGCAGAAAGTATATTGATATATTTCAAATTTCTCTAACTGTTTTTTGTTAAAACATTATATGCATTTAGAATACTTCTTTATCATTTCTTAAAATAATATACATACTATATATAAAGGTCATCTTAATGAAGAATT